CTAACACAGGGCGAGAAGGACAAAGAGGTGGGATGTCCAGTGCCTGTTTCACCCCTTGTTACTATCAGTCTAGCTAAAAACTTGTTCTTGAATCTTAACTGGGGAGGCAGTGGAGCGCTGAAGACTTAATCCTTGGGATATAAAGCAGGAAAAAGACTGTGGAAACAAGCTGAAGAGATGTTAGCTAAAAGGGCTGGGAATTACCAAAAGCATCTGGGTTGATCAGTTATTTCCAGAACCCAAAGTCTTCAAGAGCTAAGTTCAAACATAATTAACTTTGCTACCCTACATACTGCACCCTACTCCCACCCCAAATATTCTATACAAGTGTCCTATTCAATGAACATTTACTAAATAAACGTGTAAATCAGTAAGTTAACTTGGTTTTATTTTTTCATATCTTCACACCCTAGCCAATTGCTTGCCCATCCAATAATCTATCATTTATGAAGACATTAAGTACTTAAAATTGTAGGGGAAAAAGCACATAACTAACTCTTCATCTGTATGTTTCCCTCTTGTAAATGACAAATTGCTCTGAAAATACAATAGTAACTGTCCAGATACTCCTGGTCTCCCTCCTGCCACATACACACAGATTCAAATATTAATCTCAACTCTGCTCATTGAAGTTCTATGCAGTTTTCCCACTCACCACATTCTCAATACCCTTTCTACATTTAGGGTAAGGACAGCCACATGCCTTCTTGACTGGATTCTATGTTTCGAGTGTCCCTTACCCACCTGCTCAAAAATACATAAAATCCTTGCCAACATTATGAGGTCATCTTTAATAGGAGGCTATTCTAGATTAAAGAACACAGTTTTTCTGTTTTATTTTCTCACCAGGGATTAGGAAGATTCTTGAGAGAGAAAGCAGTACCTTCATTCATTCATTAATGACCCCTACCCCTTCCCCACTATATAAGTTATGATGTGCTCAGACCTAAGGAACAAAATACCTGGTAACAATGACTTAATCCATTGTCTACCTCTTTTAAAATTCCTCACAAGGTAATCTTAGAGTTGCTTTGGCTACTCAACAGTGTCAACAAGAATCCAAACTCTGGAGTGGATATTTAGCTCAGTGGTTCCTCGCAAGTGAAAGGTCCCAAGTTCGATCCCCGGTGCAAAAAAAAAAACAAAAACAGAATCCAAACTCTTCTCATCCTTCTGGTCTACCACCTTTGGTATTAATTTTTCAACATGGCCTCATAGTTGCAAAATGGCTACCACCGTTCCATCATATCATCATGTGACAGTGCTCAATTTTGGAAACAAGAGGCTGAGGTAAAATGTTTTTAAGATTACCTGCTTTCCTTAGCCTCTATCTTTTCACCTAAACAAGAAAATCTTGATAAAAATCTCAGAAGAATGCTCTTACTTTATTTTCCTACCAATCTGATACCTCACCCTCTTTTCTCACATGTTAGTCTCCCCTTTAACAGTTACTTCATTTATCTGAATCTAACCACTTATTCTTCATTTTTAAAGTTTATGCCAACAGATGGAAAGATAGATTACTTCCAAACATCTGCACTGAAATGTTCTATCTGCAATCCTGCTGTGAGTGAAACTGATTTTAATTACATGATGTTTGAAAAATTCTCTTACCAGGACTATAAGTAAAGGTGGTAAGATAAAAAATAAGTTATCTTACAATGCGTTATGCACATCCATGCTACAAACAAGTAATATGCACACTACACCAGGGTTTTTAATAGACCATGAATGGTAAACATGTTCAACGCCAGGGTCGTTTATGACAGTGCTTAGGGTTACTGGAAATGTATACATTTCTGCCATTATATTAACTCTATAATTGCACAGAAAGAAAATGAAGAGCTGACTAGACTGGCCATTCATTCACTGGGTCTACTCAAAGAGACCATCACCAAGAACTCCAAAATGTGGAGAGGCCAAAATGTGGCTAGAGAGTTCAATGACACCCATGTTTTAGGTCACTAGGTTCTCATGATAATGACAGTGTGCTCCCTACAGCTTCCATAAGCATGTGTGCACCACACCTGCACATTCCTGGGTGATCATGCTTCCTCTTCCTCTCTCACTCCTACAATGTTGTAATCTGCAAACTCCTCACACTCACCTCAACTCATTTTCTCTGTGAGTTTCAACTACAGGTATAACTTCAACTACTACTTAACAGTCAAAAACTCCTAAAACTCCTAATAAATTTCTACCTATAGATAGCTTGCTCATCCTGAGTTTTCAGATCATACTTCTGTCTTCCTTCTAGATAATCCCGTATATTCCAGGGACTAGCTTCCACTCAGAAAACTTTTATTCTGTGAGCTTACTTCTGTGTTCATTATCTACATTCAAAGTATTATAATCTATTTAATAAACTGGGCTGGAAACCAAAATCCTAAATACCTACATCTCCCTAATCACTCTCTAAACCTATTCACAAGGTCTGAAGTGTCTACTCTGAAATTCTTCATAAATGTTTATCTTTTAAATTCTCACTATCACAGACCTTGTTCAATGCATCATTCTACATATGGACTGTTTTAGTTAGTTTTCTGTTGCTGTCACCTAATACCAGAGACTAGGTACTTTATAAAGATTTATTCATCGTACAGCTCTAGAGGCCCAAAGTCCATGGGCTTCATCTGGTGAAGAGCATCTTGGTGGTGGGGACTCTGAAGAGTATCACACAACAAGGGGAATGCACACCACAAAGAGAACCAAACCGACTTTTTATATTCCTTCTCAAGATAACCCACGAGTCCATTAATCCATTCATGGAGACACAGCCCCCATGATCTGATCACCGCTTACAGGTCCCACCTCCAAATATCTCAAAATAAAGTTTTAGTGAGAATAGTCAAATCATTGCATGAGGTTTAATTCTGTACAAACTTTTAAAACTGCTCTTCCTATCTCCAATTACTACTACAGCCAAACACCCTCTATTTAACATTAGCATCCTCTATTTCCTTTCAACAAGTATTTATTGAGTACCTTCTTGTGTGATAGTTAATTATGGTATCAACTTGAATGAATTAAGAAATGCCTAGAGGATTAGTGGAGCACAGCTGTGGATGTGTCTGGATGATTTGTAATCTGCAAACTGAAAATAGATGACCCAATCTGGAGGTGGGTGGCACCAACCAATAGGCTTGTTTGAAAGAAGGAATTAGGCCCTGTGCACTTCTTTAGAGGAGTTCCATTCCTTGCCAATGCCTTTGTACATTCCTCTCCAGCTCCTTCAGGCTTCCAGCTCAGATTCTTTAGGTTTCTAGCACAGACACTTTGCCTTTCTGACACAGACTCACACCAGACTCTGCAGGGAGCTCCAGGCCTTTGATTTTCAAATCTGTTCCTCCAGTGTACCCTAACTGATAAGACTGTATAACAACCTTTAAGCTGAGCATTGAGTAAAAAAATGCTGTGAAAATCAAAGATCTCTCCTTAGTGAACTTAAGACTCCCAGCTCAGGAGATAGATAGTAACCTAGTAAATACATAAATGAACCTACAGAAGGTCCTTATCTAAAGAATAACTACTGGGGAATGACATAATGACCTGTGTTCACAGTGGTTAGGGAACATTTCATTGAGGTGGTAGAATTTAAAGTAACAGTTGTAGGAAAAGAAGCCTCTCTCTCTCTCTCTCTCTCTCTCTCTCTCTCTCTCTCTCTCTCACACACACACACACACACACACACACACATACACGGGATGGGGGGGTCCAAGGCCTATGCTGGTTGGAGCTACATTTATAATGAGCAGGGTACATGAAATGACACCAGAGGGGTAAACAAAAGCGACATTATCTACAGTATTCTGGGCCACTCTCTAAAGTCTAAATCTAATTTGAAGTAAAATTAGAAGCCAGGGAAGAGTTTCATGCAGAGAACTAATATAATATGATTTTTTTAAAAAAAAACTTCCAGAATTATGTGTTCCAATCAAAAAGTGAGTGTCAATGCTCACTTCGAGAAAGTTCTATGGCTCTCGTGAGTCACATGAATGAAGTAATGCAACGTGCAATTTGCTCAAATGAGTCCTGGTTTGCCCATTTTCCCAGTATAGTTATAAACAGACTCTCTGTCACTCTCACAAGTGTGCTAATGGAGACCATAATGGTATGATCAACTCAGTGATAAGTAATGCAGTCAAATATTACTACAGCTGACACTGAAAGCTCTCCTGAACCTGTTTTAGATCACCTCTCTTTCTCTCGTCCCTGTCACATCTCACATCTTACATCTCAAAGTACCATAGCAACTCTGAAATGTAATGCTGGCAGTTTGCAGCACAGAGCATGCATGTTCCTATGTTCTCTATGCTCATGCTCTTGCCTCTGCAATCATTCCACTGTAGGCAGACAGACCCTTGAGGACCGACCTCAGAAACCTTCCCAGAAAACAACCAGAATGAATGGCTTCCTTGTCTGTGCTTTGTCAGTCTTTCTATTATAACAGCATAGCTGGGTTATTCATGGGTTTGTTCTCCCTGCTAGAATGGCAGGTACTTAATGGTGAGAACCGCATCTATTCAGAACTGATTTGGGGTTTTCATCACCCACTGCATGCTTGGCGAAGAGCTAGTCCTTGGTGTGTGACTTCAAGGTGAATACTTTCATACAAAAGTAAAATTAAAAAGTAGCAAAATTCACAAGCGCAAGGACCCGAGTTTGATCCCCAGTACCAAAAAAAAAAAAAAAAAAGTAGCAAAATAGTAAAGTTGAACACTGAGAATTTAAAATGAATTTTTTTCAATAAGGTTAAAACATTACTGGCTTTATACACAAACTACTTTCATTTTCTTACCTTCATCCCAAAGGTAACTCTATTATAGTGACAATAAGCTTTTAATGAGTGACGAAGTAAAAAAAAAAAATCCTTATAGGTCTAGAAGTCTAATTGTCAGGGAAACTAAACTGTTTCTTGTCTGGACGATAAATTTTTAAACAGTTGTGCAGGTGGAATGAAATGGGCTGATATATTACCAAAACTGATTTCATCTACTTACCATTCTTACACAATCCTGAACAAATCCTACTCAGAAGAACTTCTTGACGCAACTGTAGAACTTCAGCTTCCAAGGCTTCAACTTTTGATCTGCAGTTTGAATCCTGCTCAGATACCAGTGTTACAAGGTGCTCTGTGTATTCTCTGCTGCTTCTGTCTGCTGGCTTGGAGTGGATAATTGCCAAGGCTAAAGCCAGCTTTGTAGCTCTCAAATGCCATGTTTGAAGATCCATCCTGGCTTTTGTTCCTATTGTTTAATAAGAAAAACAAGTCACAGACAGTCCTTTAAACTTTGGCAGTGCATTTCATTTGCTCAAAATTGATTTTGCAGAGTAATACTCATCAATAAGTTTACAAAACAACTTGGTACCAAGTAACAGGAAAAAATTCTCAAGAACTGAAAACTCCATGTGAAGAATATACAGAAGAAAAATGCATACACATGCATATTCAGTATATTAAGATTCAAAATAGCTTAGACGACTTGACAACTTCTTGCAGTGGAAAAAGTACACAGTAATTCATTTAGTGGTTTCTAACCAGAGACACACATCAGAATCATTGAGGGAGCTTTTAAAATACATGTGTGCCTGGTCTCATTCACCTAAAATTCTGATTCAGCAAATGTATGGGAGCATTGAGGTTTTTATATTGTGAAAAGACCCCACTGAGTAACCACAACCACTACATTAAATCATCCATTTAAATGTAAGCCCTTCCTTTCCTCCAATCCATTCTGCTAAGTCTCTGAGTCCCTGCTTCCCAACTCTGCATTCCTTTGTATACCTTTACTTATTCTTCCTGCCTTTAATAAACCCCTTCCGATCTATATTGAGAACGATCTTTTAAATATCTGCATCATTTAAGTTGTGACTCTGCTTTGATTCTGTACTTCCAAAGATTTCCAAAAGTCACCCAGGATATATTTTTCCAAACCAACAATGTATTACAGTCTTACAATATGAATGTATTTAAGAGGACTACAGGACAGGCCATTGGATTAGTTGTTTTACTATCACTATCTCTGCTGAAGTATAAGCTCTTTGTGGCTTCCACCATGCTTTTTTGGATTACAATGGGGGCTTTGTGCATGAACTGTGCTAAATGAAAAAAACAATTAACAAATAATTAAAAGCACAGTAGGGGGCCAGGGATTTAGCATTTAGCTCAGTGGTTCCCCTGCCTGCCTTGCAAGTACAAGGTCCCCAGTTTGACCCCCAGTACCAAAAAACAAACAAACAAACAAAAAAGTACAGTAGGTACTTCTAATCTATAGGCCCTATATATACATGCACATATTCAACAAGCCTGAGATCAAAACCATTCAGATAAAAAAAAAACATTCAGATAAAAAATTACATTTAGGAGACCTGACCCTCCACAACAGAGGTGCCTGGGAGCAGAGGCAGAGCTCAGAAAGGCTCAGGAAGTTCTGAGAGGGGGAAGATGGCACAGCTGTGAGTAGCAGAGAGAGGGCCTCTCCTAGTCTTGCTGCTGAGAATCAAAGCCCACTGGGAGTGCGAAGAGAGTCACCGGAACAAAGATACGGTGGACTGCAGTGGTTGTTGTGACCACAACACAGTTGAAAAAAGTGAGTTACAACCAGCGGCTTCAGAGAAAGATGCACATGTCTGCGGGATTTTAGCAATGGCAATTAATCTCCTGGAGAGGAGATCAAAGTTATAGCAGAACTGAGCAGCACCACACACATACACACACACACACACCCCAGCATGTTGGGACAGGATAGAGAAGTGCCAGTGGGGGTGAAACACAGGAGGCTGGGAAAAGACGGAGAGACCAAGGGGAGCCAACTGTACAGGGGACTGAGAGCAGCCCTGGTGGCCCCGCCCGAGGGCACCACAGCCCACAGTGAAACCTGGGTGGGCCAGAGAGAGCCATCCAAAAGCTGTTGGCTGAAGACCGCACCCAGCTCCCACAAGATCAAACTCTACCCAGGCTTGGCGGGGATACACAGCACAATTCTGGGGCACTACTTGCCTCGGACACTGCCATGGAACGGTGGACTCCAGAGGAATTTTAGTGTTTATTTTTATTTTTTATTTTTCTTTTCTTTCTGTGTTGCTTTTGTTTCCTCTTTCGGTTTAAGGTTTTACCTTTATGTTTTTCTTGTTCTGCTCATCCTCCTCTCTTTCCTCAGCTATCTCTCTTGAGGTTATGATATTTTCACGAGGGTGAAAATCATCTCTTATCTTTCTGACTCATTTCAATATTCTTATGCTTTATCCTTCAGGCTTTCCCTCCTGCCCAGTTCTCCAGTTACTCAAACCTTGGATGATCATCTGCTGTCTTCCAGTCTTGCCTCTACTACATCTCCTTTCATCTATCTCTGTTTTGCCCCCTATTTCTCTTAAATACACCCTAAGGAAAAATCACCCCACTAAAGGGGAAACTTACTGTGTACAAACTCCTGCTTTATGTTCGATTGTGTTTATATAACACTGGATCTTGCTCCTATAGTTAGAGGTGCCAAATTAATAGTTACCACAATCTGTCAGTTTCTAGGCAGTGCTTGAGGCTGTTGATATTGCTAATTGTACTACTTTAGCCAGGATGTCCTACCTGTTGTAATCAGTTGTTCTCCCTTGTATGACAACACTGTTAATTGTCTAGAATCACAACCATCACCATAGTCCAATACCAAAGGACTGGGTGCTGAGCTAAATAAATAGCAACTTCTGATTCTTAGTAAATTGGGAAAATAGGATCTTGGGACAGACACAAAGACCAAGAACCACATATGCCCAGAAGACATCTCTGAGGAATAGTCATTTCCTAGAGAAGCCTTGGTACTAGTGATAAACCTATCTGCCATCAGGAATTTATAAGCATCAACACAGAAAATAAAATAAAATTTAATAAAGAGAAAGCGACAAAACACAGAAGAAAAATGCAATTCCAGACCTCTAGCCCACCTAAGACAAGTCCAGGAGACAATGAGATAGAAGAAATCAGAAGTCACCCACCTGATTTCTGTGGGATGATAGAAACAGAAATAAGAAAACAAATACCTGAGCTTATAGAGAAAATGATCTCTCAGATAAAAAAGAAATGGTGATCAAAATGAAAGACATGCTCAATGAATCTAGAGTAGATATAGATAAAAATAGAGGGGATTAAGAAAATGATAGAAAACATCAATGCTCAACATACAAAAGAAATGGAATTCATGAAACAGACATCTAGGAGATTAAAAATTTCACTGAAAGTAAAACCAGTATATTAAATGAAGGAGAGGACAGAATTTGTGAACCAGAAGACAGGAATGCAGTTAACAACCATGAAAAGAAAGATATCTTAAAAATGGCCAGGGACCATGAAAAATCAATCCAATAATTGCAAGATGATGCAAAGATGAACAATATTAGATTGATTGGGGCCAGTGACAGAGTTGGAGATAGTGCAAAGGTCATACAAACCTTGTTCAAAGAAGTATTGGTAGAAAACTTCCCAAACATGGAAAAAGAATTTGACACCCAAATAGGTGAGGCATATCAAACGCTAATGAGCCATGACAAAACAAATCCACAACAAGGCATATAATTATCAAGATCCCAGGAATTTAGCACAAAAGCAGAATATTAAAAGCTGTTAAAAGAAACAAATCACCTACAAAGGAAAGCCCATCAGAGTCAGAGCAGATTTCTCAACACAAACCCTTAAGTCAAGGAGAGCTTGGAGTGAAGTATTCCAGGTTCTGAAAGAAAACAACTTCCAACCCAGATTGATGTACCCTGCAAAACTATCTTTCAAATTCCATGGAGAAATAAGATACTTCCATACAAAGAACAACTGAAGAAATTCATGACCACTAAACCAGTTCTACAAAATTCTGTGAAGGATATTTTAGGAAGAGACTGTGAAGACCACAACTCCAAGAACATCAATAGAAAGAAGCCATCATGCAGGGCAAGCAGTTAAACAGAGGAGAAAGACAAGAAAACAACAGCAGGAAAATAACATGACAAGGACAAGCCAATACATATCAGTTATAACCATCAATGTAAATGGGCTCAATTCACCAATCAAAAGAAACACACTGGCAGAATGGATCAAGAAACAAGATCCAACAATTTTCTGCATACTGGAAACACATTAAATCCAAAAAGAAATTCATAGATTAAAAGTCAAAGGATGGAAAAGAATACTCCATGTGTCAGGAAGCCAGAACAGGTATAGCTATACTATTTGCAGACAAAGTGGATTGCAAGCCAAGACTGATTAAGAGAGACAAAGAAGGTCACTACATCCTTATAATGTAAATGGAGTTTATCACTAACTGTAAAATTATTGGTGATTTTATCTCATTTTAAATTCTATTTTCTAATTTTCTACAATGAATATGTGTCAAATGTAATCAAATAATTTATAAAGAACATAGATTTCCAAAATCAAAGTACAGCTGCCATTATTTTAAGCATTCCCAGCTGCTGAATTCAGCAAGGACTGCATCCTGTTAAGATGGATATAGAAATTAGACTGATAGCTCCACTCACTTTAGCTTTTGCAGCAACAGCTTCACTGCCTGGTGCATCCTCCATCTGCTATGTCAGGGATGGGAGCAGTGGACTCCAACACTTGTCACTCTCAGAGAAGCACTTACATGCACTCCACAGACAAATGGATGACTCTCTTTCAAGAAGTCCGCTAGTATTGAACCCTAAATAAAACTGTAGCCTTTTCAAGGTCTTTCGGTTAGAAAAGAATCTCACTTTTAATTATGAATAGTAGGAATTTAAGATTAAACAGGAAAGCTAGAAAAAAGTGCATTAACACAAGAGGATAAAGTTCACTGGCTAATAAAATCAGTAAACTCCTGGTCATCTTACAGAAATTTAATTAGGTGATTTAAGCAAGTAGATTAGATGTTCTGATATTTAAGGCATTGTATGCAATTTGTTAATAGTCTTAAAACCATGCTGAATATTAGTCATCACAAAAACTATCTCAGGGTCATTTATTTGAACATTAATTAGAACTGTATCACAAATGAGTAGAAATGATTGCCAACAGAGATCCCTAGGACAAGCTTGTAGGTTATAAATCATATTGAAAACACACAGATCTACAACCTACAACCACAAAGAATCAGGCTTTTAAAACTGTTTGCTGTACCACTGTGGAAATCAGTATGGAGATACCTCAAAAAACTAGGACTGGAAGTCCCATTTGACCCCACTATTCCACTGCTGGGGATCTTCCCCAAAGAATTAAAAGAATCATACC